CCCCCCCCCCCCCCCCCCCCCCAATCACCACATCACCACCACCACCATTTCCGCTTTGGCTTAATGTAATTCTGATTTTTCAAATGTAATTCAGTTTTTTTCAATGTGATTCCGGCCACTTCTGCTTTGGCTTAATGTAATTCTGTTTTTTTCAAATGTTGTTGTGTTTTTGTTGCGTTTTTTTCAAGTGTAATGCTGTTTTTTTTTTCCAAACGTTGCTCTTTTACACCCCAGGGCCACCGTAGTTTACATTTTAGTGTAAGTCTGATTCAAGATGGCCGCCACAACTAACCTTAGAAACACACAACTGGCTCCAACTCAGTCAATTTTACAGATATTGAGGTAAAGTTTGGTTAACTTAGAGTTCAGTTTTTCCTCCCAGGTTTTATCTACTTGTTGCAAAGCTCAGTCCGTGTCGCTCAGATTATTTCTGCATCAACACGTTCCACAGTTTGAGGTCCTGTCGTAGTTTCTGCCCTTCTCATGTCTGTGCCTGTGCTTGGTGGGCAGACTCAGCTGGCTGACACGGAGCAGGCCCACGCCCTGTGTGAGGGTTTGGTGCGGCAGCGCGACGAGGCTCAGCGGGAGGCGGAGAGGCTGAGGAGCAGCCTCAGAGACGTGGAGCGAACGCTGGGAACCAGAGAGCGAGCTCACCGACACAGAGTCAAAGGCCTGGAGGAGCAGGTGATTGCTGTTTTTAACAAGTTTATCTCAACTCAATTCAATTAGTTTATTTATATAGCACCAAGTCACAACACAAGTTGTCTCAGGGCACTGAACAGAAACATTCATGTATATAAAAATAAGTTAATAACATAAATTATCTGAGGAGCAGACTGCTTTGAATTTAACTTCATCGCAGACTCATTTTGAGCAAAGGCGACAGTGGAAAGGAAAAACTCCCTCATGAGGAAGAAACCTTTAGCAGAACCAGGCTCAGGACAAGCGGCCATCTGCTTTGACCGGCTGGGTTTGAGAGGAACAGGAAGGAGGAACAGATACACAATGGCAGGTCGAGAATAATAATGGAAGTTGGTTCCACAAGAGAGGAGCCTGTTAACTGAAAGATCTTCCTCCCATTCTGCTCTTGGAAACTCTAGGAACCGCAAGTAAGCCTGCAGTCTGAGAGCAAGTGCTCTGTTAAGAAAATATGGGACAATAAGTTTTGTAATATAAGATGGAGCTAGGTTGTTGAGGGCTTTGTAGGTTAGAAGTAAGATTTTGAATTCTATTCTGTATTCTGTCAAATTCAGAATATAATTCAAAATCTTAATTCTATTAAGAATATAATTCAGAAAAGAAGTAAGATTTTTAGTTTAATTCTGATTTTGACAGGGAGCCAATGGAGAGAAGCTAAAACTGGAGAGATGTGATCTCTTCTACTAACTCCCATTAAGACTCTGGCAGCAGCATTTTGGATCAACTGAAGACTTTTGTTTTATTTATAAAATAATTTTTATTTCACTTTTAATTTTAAAGTTTATTTCACTCCTCTGCAGCTGTAATACCTTATTGTAACAGATTAAAAACACATCTATACAGTCAGACACAAAAACCACTAACAAGTTGGTTAAACCATTATTTAAACAGGTTAGTCCCATTGAGCTATGAGGACCCATTTACAAGAAAGACCTGAAAAAAAATTTGTTCTGCCAGGGAAGTGTTGCTCTGCTGCAGACCAAACAAATCGGATCCCTTCATAGAAATGCAGCAGCAACGTCTTCATGGGACAAATACAAAAAAAAAAAACTGCTCAAGAAACACAACAGCCCAAACATGTGGAATCGCTCTTTAAACTCCCCAAATCCTGAAGTGATTCATAAACATGCACTGAAACAGGAGATTGGATCCCAACTTCCTGGTTTCAGAACCAACAGGTCAAACACAGAGTTCCAGTTTCTGTGGCTCAGTGGGTCAGCCAGGTGGTTTTAATGTTTAGGCCTATACGTGAACATTTAAAGGGAAAAAAAAATCAAATTAGTCAACAGAAGTAAAAACTTTTCTTCAGTTCAGCAAAGCTTCGGACATCACTTTTCAATATATTTTATTGTTCTGATTACCCAAATTGGAATCAAGGAATATGTCTGTTAGTAAAATATCTCAAGAACAACTGGGTGAGTTTAATTAAACCTTCAGATGCAAAGATTGCTACTTAAGTAAACGCACATGATTTGGTGCTAAATAACTTTTCAATATGCAATGTCCTAGTGGTTTATGTTTTATGAGAATGATTCTGTTCATCACATCCAGAGCCTTTAGAACAGAGTTGATGTGATTTAAAGATGGCTGCATCGCCCACACCAGCCTGGATTACAGATTAGAGTCACGTGCTGTGAATTGTTTGGATTAGAAGTTTACAGTTCTTGTCTCTGATGTCTTTACGGCAGGTTTCCACCCTGAAGGAGCAGCTGCAGCAGGAGATGAAACGATGGCAGTCCTCTCTTCCTCCCTCCTTACTGTCGACAGGAAACTGAAGGGAACCCATCGCTCGTCATTAATGTCTCACTTCTAACCAACTAGTCGTCTAACTCCAACTCTGCTGTCTGTTCTTGAGTCAAATTAACACTACTGTCATTTCAAAGGTCGCTTTATTGCTCATTTGAGATTGTAAAAACAATAAACGGAAGCACAAACAGGTGATTCAGCAGCTGCTTCAAACATCTGCAGACTGCAGGTTACAGAAAAACATCTGTAACTTGCCTTGACTCAACATCTTTACACACCTTATGCTACAGTTAAAGAGAAATCACGAGGTTTGGACATAGTGCAGGGATGGAAATGTTATTTTTACTATTTATTTTTCTCCTCATTTACAGAGGACAGGAACAGACTAAAGGTCTTCACTGGGACAGAAAACAAACTGTTTATTTTATTAGGAACATATTTTACTGATTACAAGATGTGAATGTGTTTTTTATACTAAAACTGATAAATTTTATAACATAATGGCAGTCCTACAGGATGTATTTTATTAGGCCAAGGGATAGTTAAGCTCTTATAAAGAAGGATTCTGTGAAAAGGTTATAAACAATATCTTACCTGCTGTAGATAGATCTTTAAACGACCTTAGTTTGTAGAAATGAAGATTAACTCTGATGGGATTGATACTACGTGAAGTTTTGCCTTTCGCAGTTAGCAGAAATATTATGGTTAGGGCTGTCCTGACATCCAATCAAGATTTTTTTTGTCCTTGATATTGGTCAGAGTCATTCAAGAGGCCATCCACACAGAAAGATTTTTTGCGAATACTCAAAGATTTTTTTCCTATTGTTTCAACCTTACCTGAAACCCCATCTTTTTGTTTTTATGTAGACAGACAACTTTTTGAAAACGATTGTCAAAGCCTCTTCTCTAATTTAGGACCCCGATGCTTCTTCCTCTGCTGTGTTTGCTTTTCAAACCCAGGGTGTAAGCTTTGTGCTCCACGCCTTGCCTCCTGTTTGTGTTGTGTGAGTGTTACAGCACCACCTGCAGGTTTGGCATAGCTACTACAGTGTTTTGGATCATTTTCTGTGTTTTCATATGGATGAAGACATTTCTAGAAACAGCCCAAACTTGCATATTACCACAAATTATTAACATTATTAAAATATATTCCATCATGTGCTTCGCATCCCAGGAACTCTACATTGCAGTAGACTTGTGTTCAGGTTGCTCCTCAAGTTCTGATACCTATCAGTGAAAAATGTACAGATCACAAACTCGAGATTGGCTCAGGATGTTAATGATTTTCCTGCAGGAAGTGCTACAGCTATCTGCGCCTGATTTTTTTTTTTTTTTTTTTTTTACAAATAACCATAAAAATCTATGTAAGTAACTTTAAGACACAAAATTGACGGTGGTGTAAAGGATGGTAAGAGAGCGTTCTCATAAACCATTATAAAATGTTTAAGATTGTTTGTTTTCAGACAAGGACAACTTAAAAAAGTCACTTGTAGCTGTTAGCACATCAGAAATAAATGTATTTGCCTGTAGATGGAGCCATCTACAGCAGGTAAGATAGTAATTGCTCATAACCTTTCCCCAGAACGCTTCTTTAAAAGATATGAACCACCCTTTTAATATTTGTAATATATATATATATATATATATATATATATATATATATATATATATA